TATATATATATACATATGCATACATAATATTAAAGCTGAGGCTTCCAGACCCAAATGGCATTCGGGAGCACCAGAATGCTATGCGGAAATCCGGACTCCATTCGGGTCTTGGAGCATCAGTTTTAGTACTATGTATATAATAGTATTCTGTATTACGAACGAATATTCGTTTCAGCAACATTGGGAGCCATATATACATAAAACTAAAGTTGAGGCTCCCAGAATTTGTGTTCAGACCCATTCGCATGCATTAAACCGAAAAAACACATCTGATTGACCAGAAAAGTCGCATGTCCGATTGAGTTTCGTTTTTAAATTCAGAAATTCAGATTCAGACACATTCGGATGGATTAGAATTCAGAAACTCTGATGTGTCCGAATGTCCAAATTTTGGAAAATTCGTACAAATTTTCATTCGGAACGAAACGAATTGCACATGTCTAGCGGAGAGGCAAGCCAAAGTTATTATAATTACGTAATGTAACTATAACAGCGACATTTTATTATATCACACAGAAATAGTATATCATGTCCCTTGTGGACCAGAGCAATTATACATCAGATATGCGAAATTGGCACTTCTAATGATAACGCAGTAATAAATTAATCTTTTATTTCCTGCAATGAAATGAACACATAAGCAATACATTTAAATGAAAACAAAAGAAAGTCTCATCCATGCTGCGTCAATGTGCGATCATACATCCATATACATCATTATATCAGCCCCATTGCATAGCAAACTTCAAAGAATACCAACAGGAGCGTATTCACTCTACCAATTGGGTGTAAGATGCATAGCAATTTTTAGCACCCGGCATCAGTATATCATATCACCCATTAGCAGTAAGTATAACAATCAGCAGTATTGTTCTATATCAGCCTCTCCTAATCACTGAGATTGGAGGGAAACTGTCCTACACTGGCAGGAAATGGCTTAGAATGTAGCCATAAAAAAATGAGGAGCTGCACCAAGGAAGAAGGAGGGTACTGGCTTGCTTAGATGAATACACAGCAGAGCATGCACTAGTTTGCTTTTCATATAATTACACAATAAAAGGAATACATACTGTAGATAACAGATTAGACAGATGGGACAAGAAGCCATGAAAGACTACTGACATAAACATTTCTTTTAATGAAACAAAATATAACTCATTATTTCTAGAAAGCATTCTGTGCAGTCTGCGAGCTCGCTGCAAATCAGACGGAGTAAACTGAGCCCTCTCACGTTACCTCTGTGCCAAAAACAGGAGATTGTCACAAAGCGCAAAGTGTCCCCTCACCAACTCTACAAGGCAGTAAGAATATTTTAGGATATTTACCTGTTTGTGGCAAGTAAAGGAGAAGTAGAATATGAGTGAACATCTTCTCTTCTAGATAGTCATCTGATAAAACTTCTTTCACTTTCATATGCATTATATATTCATGTGTTTCAGTGTAGTGGAAACTTTCGCTCTTTCATCAATGGAATTCAGGCAGAGAAGAAAAAGCAACAAAACTGTTTCTTCCTGTGAAATGTAAAAATTGGGGAGTACACTTTAATTCAGTTAATGGTCACCCATAAAATCCATTAAGCACCTTAGGTCTCCTACTTGAATAGTTCTTGTGGACCAGAGGAATTTTTGCATGACCACTATGAGCCCGTTTTTCTCTCGTCACTTAAAGAACTCCAGGATTTTTAGGAATTAGCCCACGCAGTGGGGCTACCCCCGCACTGCAAGGGCTAAGTGCTCATAACATAAAAAACATAAAGAAGGGACTGGTCCTCACAGCCAATGGCAGGCACCAGGGTAGGTATCACCCGGTGCGGCCGCAATGCACGTGTTACCACATCCGTTTTGTTACTCCATCACGCATGCACTGTGATGTATTTCACTGCCAGTCATTTTGGTGTCACCTCTACTGAAGAAGTCACTTAGTGCGGGGCTGCACCCCCCTTGTGACGCAACTGCCCACAGCCTCTTCTCCTCCGGGCTGCGGGGGGGGGGATAAAGACCCATGAAATCATCACGTTTAATGCAGGTCCAATGCGACGTAAGGACACCGGGGGACATACCATAATCACAGCAAAGCGGGAGAGAGGTGAGCGGTCACTGCCACAGGACAGAGGATCTGGTGAGTATTTCTTCTTTATTTTCACCCCTAGACAAAAATTTTAATCTTTGCAGTGCGGGGGTAGCTAAAAAAAAAACCTGGAGTTCTCTCTTGAGATAAAGTAATACATACTTTGTTTTTTTCGGAGGGAAGGGGTTGGGGTTTTTTTTTGTGGCAATATTGTTTTGTAAAGATTCTTTTCTATGGAATTTATAGACAAAAAGATTTTTTTACATTTATTTTTTTCTGATTGACCCATGTTATTTTATTGAAAGTTTTACAGTTAATTAAAAATATACATTTTACTTTTTTTTTATAACCTGTCGCATTTAAAATGACACTGAAATAAGGTCTCTGGTACAAAGCATATCAAAAGTCGTTTACTCATAAAGTCTCTTTTTCAATATTACACATTTTCTTTTTAATGCAACACCAAAAAAGTAACAAACATTACAAATGAATATTAATAAAAAAATAAATATACAGTGTATATGGTTAAAAAAAAAACAATAAAAAAAATCAGCTGAAAAATAAATGCTAAGAGAAGGGAGGAAAGAGTTAACTAGGGCTGAATAAAGCTAACAAAGGGTTAATAAAGGGTTAAATAGGAATATATTTTATTTACCCAAAAATTTCATGTAGTTTCTTTAAGTAGTGTTATATGCAGATCAAAGGCCACACACATATAACTGAAATAGTAAATAAAATACAGTAATACCTTGGTTTACTAACATAATTCATTGCGGAAGCATGCTTGTAATCCAAAGCGCTTGTATATCAAAGTGAATTTCCCCATAGGAAATAATGGAAATTCAGATGATTCGTTCCACAACCCAAAAATATTCATAAAAATGATTACAATACATTACTGTAATATAATACTGTACAAAATATAAAGAAAAATTGACCAATTACCTGGCTGGTGTGAGGGGGACAAGAGAGAGAAGGATTATTGTGTAGGACGACTTTCACCATCACTAACGGAATCACTGCTATCTCTTGACTCAATGGAATCTTTTTCATTTTGTGAAACCTTAACAAGGAATCTATCCAATGTGACATTGCATTGTCGTTAAACAGACTCATCGCTCGCACTGCTACAGCCTTATTCGGGTGGCGCTTTTCTAAAAAAATGTGCTCTTATTGCAAGACATTGCTTGTATATCAAGGCAAAATTTTTCAGAAATGTTTGTTTGTCTTGCAAAACTCTCTTAAACCAAGTTACTTGTAAACCAAGGTATTACTGTACCTTGATTCCTTCAATTTACTCAATGACACTTCCAGACTATCTGCAAGTGTCATTTTATTCAGGAGCAGGTTCATTTTGGAAGCTGCTCCTGCTGTGTATAGGGATGAGATTCGGGTTAGTGTACACTGCGAACGAATGCACAATATTGCCACCGTGCCTACGAATTTGGTCAAATGGCTTAGAATGGCTGATAAAGGGGTGTTTGGATAAGCCAGCCACCTCATTATAAAAAGGTTGTATTCCCAGCAGCCATTTTACAATGTGCTTAGCTGTGATAAGGAAGTCATAAGAAGTGCTGCTGATAAAGTGCATAGGAACAGATTAGTGTAGGACTTATAGGCCTTGGTCTCTTAAAGCTGATGTAAGCCCTTACTTAATCTTCTTTAGATAGCAAAAGGCTGTCTGTCTTGAGAAATGTGGGGGGAGGGAAGGATTTTTACATCCCAATGCTGCTCAGGAGTGTGCTACAGCTTCTAGCCTTTCCACATGCATGTAGGTAGGTGCAGTATGGCCAACGGCCACTAGATGCCCCCATGGGGCCCTGGAGATAGATGCAGCTCTGGCTTGGGGAAACTCTGTGTCCCAGGAGAGTTGATATATAGGGGGCGCCCGAGAGGGGGGAGGAGGCAGAGAGTACAGGAGAGCAGAAGTCTAAGACTGGCTGCAGAGTCTCTGGAGAGAGACTGTTTCTTGAACATAGGCTGGTCCATGGGAAGGACAGGACCAGGCCTAGGACTATGTAGAGCTACAAAGATTCCCTAGTTTCCCCACAGGGGGAAACCCACCGTGCTAGGACTGACAAAGGATGGGATTCCAGAGAATAGTGAAGTGCTAGAAGACTGACGATATTCGCCAGTGGGCATATGGCCGAAGTAAGTCGTGACTCTGGGCTGCACCTGGGCTGATGTACCTCTCTCTCTAAATTGTATCGCCATGCAAGTAACAAGTGATGTGCCGTCACCCCATTCGGGGGTGGCTGAAAAGTATACTTTGTGCTGTTAATATATTCAAGTAAAACCAACAAAAAGACTATCTGAGTGGACTGGTTCTTCTCCCTCCAACCTCTGAGAAGGTGGGGTTCTACCGAAGTATGATGTGGACTGTAACGTGGCTGTAACCATCGGAGAAGGGTAGGTGCGCAATGGGGCAATGCCTGACACAGGGTGCCGTTCATGGTGGCCTTTCTCCTTGGGGAGGAGGAAGCGCCGAAGGCCGCAGAGGCGGTTGAAGCCATGAGGCCCTGTGTACGCAGTACTACACGTGAGGGAGTGTTTGCACGAGGCCAAGGCCGTGGCCCCTGACCGAGGGGTGTCTGGTTTCAAGTTGCATGCACGGGGTTACCCAGCCAACCCAAAGGGAACACACACGCAACACCCCAAGAGTGAACCCCGCCTACATGCAATACAGTCAGAACAGGTTGCATGTTGTTTTTCACAGGGCATATTTCTTAATTTTTGCTGGCTACCATTGATTTTTTTCACAGCCTGTCCCTGTCAACAGTCAGTAGATTGATTGCAGGCTGCATGTGTTTTTTCACAGGGCATATTTCCTGATTGTTGCTGGATGCAATTTTTTTCAAAGCCGTTTTCCAAGTGATATTTGTCAGGTGAAACTTATATGAAATTATAGTGTTTGGGGTGCATTTTTTAATGTGTCCTGCTTGTGTGCACCGATCTGTGCTCCTAAAATCCTTTTAAGAACCAATATCTTTCTGCAGCATCTGGTTGGTAGCTAGTTAATCAATACCTTAGCTACTTTATTTTCTATTAATTGGGGTATTTCCCTTTTTTTGTGTTGATTAAAACAAAAAAATGTCTAGTGTACAGTGTGCACCTAAACCACTTCACATTAAACCACTCACATTCACCACCCCCTATCTCTATAGAGATATTCAAATTTAGATATACACTTTTAATGCGTATTATCCCTTATTAAAAATGTCCTGCTGCCGACCAATTTTACATGGCTGTATCCTCTTTGATATGTTAATTTTTTAGCAAAGCCCCAGCCTCTGCTATTTGTCTCTAGTAAATTGTGCCGAGCCTTGCTATTTAAAATTGTTCTGCCTCTGACCAGTCTTGCACTGCTGTATCATTATCATTATTAATATTTAGGATTTAATATTATATAGCGCCAACAGTTTGCGCAGCGCTTTACAATATAAGGAAGACATTACCATCACAATACAATTCAAGACATGATGGTAAGGAGTAAGGATGGTAAGGAGGAAGGTTCCTAATCCATAAAACTAAGAATTAATCAGACATCTTGACAGAACTTGTCCGACTTACTATCTCTTTAAGAGATGTATAGCTTGAGTCTGAGCAATAAAAACAATTCAATTTTCTTCTACATACATTGAGAATGAAGTCAGTGTTTTTTGTTTTTTTACTGATTACAAAATAACAATATACCTAACGTAATTATTTGTACTTTAGAAAAAAAAACACCATATTAATAATATATACTAATATGTGTCAATAATTACAACCAAATTATATATATAAGGTATATAGGTTGAATATTGTATATAAAGAAAAAATCTATTACTCAAGTAAATATTTAGATGCTTCATGCAATACTAATAATACAAATGAAATTATTGCAGTTAACAGTTACAGTTCATAAAAAATCGCTATTTTCAGATCACTTAATACAATTAACAAATAAGAGGGAAGAATTAAAAAATTTATTAAATGTTAAAACCTTACAGAAATTCCATTGGTTGGCGGGTATACAATATAGATGGGGTAATAAACCAGGAAAAGTATTATCTAGATCATTAAACTACAGAAAGACACAGTCCTATATTCCTAAAATTAAAACAACAGATTCCACTGTATATACCCCTAGAGATATCGCTAAGGAATTTAAAGATTTTTATTTCACGTTATATAATGTTTCAGAGAAAAAGTCGCCAAAAACTATAGATCTTAGACAAGAGGCTATAAGAAAGTATCTGAATAGGGGTAATTTACCATCACTCCAAGCTGAAGCCCTAGGGAAACTGGAAAAGGAGATAGAAATTTGGGAATTGGAGAGCAGCCTGTCTGAAATGACCAAAGGG